CATATCATGTCGACATGGCGAGATAGATTATATTGACAAGTCGACGTAATACATATTGTATGTTGTCATGGCGAGATAGATTACCGGTATCTTGACAAATCGTCATAGTAAAAATTGTTATGTTGTCATGGCGAAATAGATTATCTTGACAAGTCGACATAGTAAAAACTGTATGTTGTCATGGCGAGATAGATTATCTTGACAAGTCGACATAGTAAAAATTGTATGTTGTCATGTTTTGTTATACTCTTTGATCAGCTGCTCGCCAAAATTGACAGACTGATCATGAATATTAATTAATTGGTTAGAAAATTGCTACCAAGCTAGTAAAGAAAGTGATCAGCCTCGTTTTCACCTGATTTTCATCTCATCATATCATGTTTGGTTTCTTCCCATTTTCCCCAAACTCAGGAAAGGTTAAATAACCAACATATGGCGACTCGTCTCATCCCTGCAAACTTCCACACACACTACACATTACACTTCCTTAGGTATTACATACACCTATGTGAGGGTGTATACTGTATATGTGTGTGTATGTATATATATATATATATATCAGGGTTCATACACTTTGAACTTGGGAAAATTCCAAAACTTTTCCAAGAGTTTTCCAGAGCCAAAATGTTGAATTTCCAAAACCATTTCACACAAAAATAATGACACGGAACATTTTTTACAAGGCAACTTTTTCTTTTATTCTTTAAATGAGTGTTCTATTTAGTGAAACAAAAAAAAACAAATTATATAAAAATCTTTAATAACTGATATTTTGAAATAATATTGCTTATATACTGCGTTGTGGATGAGTAATTGCAGAACAGACTTGTCTAGTCTAAACAAATCCAACTATATAATAAAGAAACTTTAACTGTAGAATAGTTATTAGAGTAACTATGAATTAATATTGAATATATTGCTCTGTGGATGTTGCAGATTTGTCCAGCATAAATAGGTTCTATTTAGTAAAAAACATCAAAATGACTAAATACAATCTATATAATAGACACAAAATTAAAATTTATTAATAACTGTTACTACTTGTAATTTACAGTAAAGTGTTACTGATGAGTTGAGAAGGAACATATTTGAAATTGAACAGCAATTATGAGATTGCTAATATTGCATTGCATGTTGTTGGAGATACAGATTTGTCCAGTCTAAATAGATACAGTATGTTCTATTTACTGAAAAAAACATCAAAATGTGATTAAATATATTATATACAATATACAAAAATTTCAAGTTTAGAGTAATCAATAACTGTTATTTTGAATAAATATTGCTTATCAATGCATTGGGGATGAGTTGTTGCATAAGAAACAGTTTGTACAAAAGTATTTATGAGATAATATATAGCTTACATATTGCATTACATGTTGAAGGTAGAAAAAAATGAAAAAATTCGCCAGGGCTTCGCCGTGTGACATGGCTTTTCAGAAAATGCCATGATGGAAACTATTATTTATTTTTTATATAATAATAATTAATAATATTATTATAATGTGATGTACAATGATACAAAAAATATAAATAAAGAAGCATTACCTAGGCCTACCAGTTAGGAATCCACATCCAAAAACACAATTAAAAAAAAGGTGGCCTTTGTTTTGTTGGATTGGTAAACCTAGGGCTAGGTCTAGTACTAGTAGGCTTAAGCTAAGCTTAGAGTAATCTTAGGAGAAGCACTGCAGTCAGTCGGCGGGACGTCGGTGCCGGCAAGGCCTAGCATGTTTGAGCCTAGCCTAGGCTACCTCTCTAGGCCTGACTTAGGCCCCTAGCTAGCCTGTTTAATATTTGGTTATTCCAATTCAAATTAATTATATAATTTAATAGCTTCCAGTAGACACTAAATTATGATGCTTCTTCCCTTTCATATGGCTAACAACAGCGGCTTCTCCCATGTTGCCAATATCGAAGGTTTTCGAACATAACATACATCGTGCTGTATGACGATCGTTTGTTCCCGAATTTGCAAGCCAACCTTTGTAATGTTCTTTCCGAAGCCATAAATCGTTAAAACCACACTTTCCAGGCATATTCGATACTTTTCAACCATCAGCCGCCGACTTTCATCATCCAACCGCGTGTTACACAACGCGCTTCGTTCGTCGTCACACCAAGCACTCCTGCATTAGTTTTTGTTTGCTAATTTTTTTCCAACTACAATTGCACATGCGCAGCAAAGCCAAGGTTCATCAACCAGCACAGTTTATTAATAAAAATCAGTACAGACTACAGTGTGCCGCGGCGCACAAAGGAAATTGACAGTCGGTCGGAAATCGTCCTAAATTCTGAGAAAATGATTTGTTTTTTTAAAAATAAAACTCAACACAAATGTTTGACATACTATTTATTTTATTTGTCACATTCTACATATTTCCATAACTTTTCCATAACCAAATAATTTTTCCATAACTTTTAAGGTCCTGGAAATTACCTAAACAAATTTCCATAACTTTTCATGACTTTCCAAAACCCGTACGAACCCTG